CGGACCAGAACACCTGTGGACAGACGGACCAGAACACCTGTGGACAGGTGAATCAGAACACATGTGGACAAACGGACTAGAACACTCGTGGACAGGTGGATCAGAACACCTGTGGACAGAGGGACCAGAACACCTGTGGACAGAGGGACCAGAACACCCGTGGACAGGTGGATCAGAACACCTGTGTACTGGTGCAGAAGTCTCAGAGTTACAGAAACCTCTGGATTGTCTCAAAGTTTGGGCATCTTAAGATACCAGTTTCATTACTTTATTTAAAAAAATAATTCTGTTGAACCAGAACTTCAAAGCAACGACTTCCTTTGAGCGTTTTATTTGATCTCTTCTTGTCAGTTTCAAGTTATTTCAGTGACCTTTGTGGACTTTTCTTTAACAGAAAGGCTGCTAACAGTTGACTGAGTGTTTCTGGTGACCTCCAGCAGGAGGCGCTGTGATGGTACTCCCCCCTGCCTCCCCCCTGCCTCCCCCCTGCCTATTGACTGTAGACGCTGCTCAGCAGAACGTCGATGTTGGATCACGGGGGAGGCGGACACAGCGAGCCGGCCACGTGTTCACTATTGAGCTTCAGTATTTTATGCACACAAGTCAAAGATAAAGAAAACGCCTCGTTTTGGACCAAACAGACTCAGAAGAAATAAAAGTTTAGTTTCATCGTTCTGCGTTAAAGAGCAGCAGCTTGCACTTCACCTCGTGGTTTCAGGCTCTCTGCAGGAAGCAGGCGTCTTATTTGCTGCTTCTCTCTGTAACGAACTTCCTCCGTTTTTTTTTTGTTTGTTTGTTTTTTTCCACAGCTGGACATTTTATGCAACGAGGAAATCTTGGGAAAGGACCACACTTTGAAATTTGTCGTCGTGACGAGATGGAGATTTAAGGTAATCGTAACCGTAAGACCGACGCCGTGCTTTCATCTTTTCTACACAAAATCAGCTGAAATAGTTTAAAGACTTTCTCGAGTCAAAATCAAGTTTTTAGCCTCAGCTATGTCCGTTTTTTTTTGTTTTTTTTTTACCAGATATCCGTAATAAACAAAAACAACCAAAAACAACTCCTGAAATTTTACTTGTATTGCTTTTATAGAAAATCATTTGAAAGACCAATTTGTCCTTTAGATTAAAATAAAAATTTATATTATTATTGCGATATTTTCAAGCTTTATCTTAACAAACAATACTTTTTTTTTTTTTACAGGAGATAGAAAAAAATCCATAAATTAGTTGTGTCATTGCTTTCCTACTAAATGAAGTTCACGAGGAGCCGCAAAAATCCATTTGGCTCTTGGAAAAACACTCTTATTATTTTTTTTTATACACTAAATTTTCAAAAAACCAACCACAGTTTATGTTGTGTTCAACTGGCGTTTTATTTTAAAGAGTCTTAAGAAACAAAAATGTGTGTTATGTTCTCGCACAGCCTCCGTTCCTTCGTCAACTTTTCCTAACCGGCCATAACTTCTGATCCACTCAATAACTCATATGCGTATGAATCATCACTAGATGATTGAAGGTGTACACGCTTATTACCACAGCTCTGAGATCAAGGTCACAAATCAAGGTCAACTGTCGTACAAGGTATTTGCTTACCCGGGCCAATGCTTTAGATTGTATTTCTGTATATTATTAATAGGCAATATAATATGGGGAGTGGTGGTGCAGAAGTTAGAGAAGGTGGGCCTGTGATTGGAAGGTCGCCGGTTCAACTCCCCGAACAGACATCAAAATGTGGAAAAGGTGAAACATCCACACCTGCCTCCACCCTCATTTGCCCCACTCTGAGCCCTTGAGCAAGGCCCTTAACCCCCACCCTCTGCTCCCCAGGTGCCCCAGATGGCAGCTCGGTGTCTGTGGTTGAGTCAGGAAGGACATCAGGTGTAAAAACAATCACCAAGTCTTTGTGCGAGTTGGTTCACTGTGGCGACCCCCGAAGAAGGAGCAGCCGACAGAAGAAGATTAATAGATGATGTAATAGAATATAATAAAACTGAATTTTGTTTTTTTCATGATCTGAAAGCCACAATCACCAAAATAACAAGAAATAACATCTTGAAATATTTCACTTTGCGTGCAATGAATCTGTGTAATGAGTTTCACTTTCTGAAATGAGTGACAAATTTTATTTTTCCACGTTATTCTAAGTTTTTGAGCTGCAGCTGTAGTTCATGGGGCGTTGGATGTGCCGTACGCAGTAACTGGTCAGCGCTGGAGCCACTTCAGATGGTCTAAAGAGCTGCATGTGGCTCCAGAACCACAGGTAGTAGGGGTGCACCGATAAACTAGACCAAAACTAGAGCGTCTCAGCTATAAGAAGTTTTCCAGCCGCCTGGTTCTTCGGTCGAAAGGTGTTTCTGCGTCATCCTGACGGTTTGTTTCAAGGTTCTTTACCGTCATTCCACCACATGTGGTCCATGTGGTGGAATGAAATTATGTACTCAGGGCCCCAGTTACGTCCAACAATAAAATGTGAAAGAAAAACAGTAATAACATCTAAGATATGAACTAAGAAAAACAAAAACTAAATATACATTAAGCACCAGTAGCATAAAAACAAGTCTGTGTGAGCAGATGAGCACGCATGAACACAGCAGCATGAAACAGATCAGCAGCAGCATGAAACAGATCAGCAGCAGCATGAAACAGATCATCAGCAGCATGAAATAGATCAGCAGCAACATGAAACAGATCAGCAGCAACATTGAAACAGATCAGCAGCAGCATGAAACAGATAAGCAGCAACATGATGTGATTTTTTTTTCACAGTGATTATCCTGGTTAGATATTCATGAGTCTAACAACCTCAGGGTAGAAGCTGTTCCTCAGTCTAGTGCAGGGGTGTCAAACCCACTTACAAAAGGGGGTCAAAATTAAAACCTTTTTTCAAACTACGGGCCGGTTTCAGAGTCTACAAGTCAAGTTAGATGCCAAACATCTTTTCTTGGTCGCAGGTTCCTCAACAAGCGTTTGATTGGTCTCATTTGATGTTTTCACTTGCATTTTTGACATCATAATAAAAGATTACTGAAAAAATAAAGTGATAAAAGTATTTTACATTTAAAATAACATCTTGGGGGCCAAATAAGATGTTAAGGAGGGCCACTTTTGGCCCCCGGGCCTCAAGTTTGACACATGATCTAGTGGTTCTACACTTAATGCTCCTTAACCTCCTTCCTGAGGGGAGCAGGGCAAAAAGTGTGTGTGCTGGGTGAGTGGGGTCCTTCATGATGCAGGTGGCCCTCTTCCTGCATCTGGAGGTGTAGATGTCTGTGATGGTGGGGGGAGCTGACTCTTCTTCTCTTGAACCTTTCAGAAATCTCCGCTCCTGCTTCATTACAGACCCAAGATGGACCTGCTGTAGCTGCAAACGGACACGATGGTTGTTCAATCCGGATCCTTCTCGGCGGCCCGAAGGTCGCAGACTGTGCCGAAACGTAACGTTTATTGTTTTTTAATTTATGCAAAGACGATCAACCAACACCAAGCAAACGCCAGACAGTGAACAAAAAGCCAGCGAATCGTCACCGAACAGGACAAAAACCTGGTGCCCCCCCACAGCACAGCAACCGCAACACAACTGAAACAACCATTTTGTTGTCCGCTACATCCTGCATATGGGAACAAAAACAGGAAAATTTAAAAAAAAAAAAAAAAAAAATGGAGAGAAATCATATATTTATACTTTTGTATAGAAGAGACGTGAATTAAGACACTACTGGTGCTCTGTTTACACAAACAAGATGTCGGGAGTCATCGGAACGTTTTTCAGCTTCATCCTCTGACGACGCGAGAAGAGGAATGTCTTTTTATAGAAATAATTTAACAAGAAAAAAAGTTTTTTCACACTCGACATGTCCCAGGAGCACAGAAAGTTTATGGAAAAGTTATATAACAAACAGCAACTTTAAGCCGTTCAACGAATTGTCTCCGATTTGTTTTTATTTTTTAATTTTGTTGATTTTCTATTGGATTCCTGATGATTGTCACTTGTTAATAGGCTTTTTGTGTAGTAATTTATGTTCTATATACCGATATTGTACATAAAATGTCATTACAGAGAGAGATTGAAGAGAAACTTTAGACTGTTAAAAGAAGAGAGTGGAGCCCCGAAGTGCTATCTATAGGTGGACGACGAGCATCCGCGCATTTAAACACAGAAGCAGAATATATCAAAGCATCTTTATGTCGTCTGAGAAAGACACAAAACAGCTCTATCAGATCCTCTCCGTGGGATCTAAATACCATCGCTCCTATCCGAGACTTTAAAGGGAAGTGTGGTCGTTTTTCACCGGATGTTTTATCAAATAGTTGGTATTTATTGGTCGTAGAGCCATTTTTAAAGAGGCCAAAGTCCATGTCGGGCTATTTGACTTAAAAAAAAATCACCAGACTATCCCTTTACGGCAGGAAAGGAGTCAACATCCGAACAAAACTGTCCCGAGCCTCGCGCTCCTCAGCTCCTGATCGCATGGAGTTCGTTTTTTTTTTAATTTTCCATTTTTTTTTTATTTGCTTTTAAATGAACGTTGATGGGTTTTAGGTGGAAAAGTCTCGCAGCAAGCGGTCCTTAACGTCCGTCGTCTTTTAGCTGCAGCAGCAGAAATTCGGCTGATTTTTACAGAAAAACTTCCGCCTCTTCGACGGCGGCGCAGATTTTATTTACCGATTTCGAGGAAAGTTTGGCGTTTTTTGTGCAGGAGCGGAGATTTTTCCGCCCAGATTTGTCGTTCGTTGCTCCTGAGCGCAGGCGTCTGATCAAAGTGGCGTTCTGTTTAGACGAAGCAGACCCGTTTCTTCAAGTCTTCAGGGTTTCTGTACGTCCTGAGATCTGGACCGACTCGGGATAAATGCGTTTATTTATCAGCGATGTGGAGAAACCGTCTCACTCCAACCTGCGATTTTTAAACCGTTCTCAGGTCTGGACTGAACCAGCAGAACCAGAAGTCCTCACGATTGTTTCACTGCGAGTCCTGATCCAGCTAACGTTTTTGGTTTTAGAGACATTTTTTGGTACTTAATCCTAAAGAATTGGAGGACTTGAAGACAAAAGACAAAATCTATGGTTCATTGGTTTAATCGTGAAGGTTGAAAATCCTCAAATCTTCTTTTGGATTCAGACATTTGGTCCAGATTTTGATTCAATTTTTGGTCACCTCTACCAAGTTTGACAAATTCAATCTTTCATTTTATGTTTTTGGAGGATTAAGTTTCAAATTTTTTTTTTTTTAATCTGATCTTGCCCACATTTAAGATTCTTTAAAATAAAACTACATCTCTGGAAAAACAAATTGGAAGCCAAAAACAATAAACTCAATCCCAGCGGTTCTCAAACTTACAGGAAAGTATTTAGCATTTTTAATGTTTCACAGCTCGGATCTCTTTGAAGCCTTTTAGTTTTCCTCGTGTTCGTCGTCACCTCCTGGTTTTCTGTCCATCAGCCTTTCCTTCAGGTGTAAAACACCCGACATGGTGCTGCTGTAACGATGACGACACTCTTGGTGCTGTTTAGGAAGAACCGGCGATCAAACCAAGACCCCGTCTGTGCCGAGCTCGGGTGCTCTCTGGTCCTGGTTCTGGAGGAGTTTTACTGTTCTCACAAGTTAACTCGATTTGGTTCAAATGTAGAATAAAAAAAAAAAAAAGGTATTTAACTCTACTAAATAAAGTGAAAAAGGTTGATTTGAAGCTCAAATCCATCCAAGTCCTCAAGTATTTAACGTATTGTGATGGAAAAGGTGTAGTTTATCATTCTGACGGTCAGAACTCGTCTCTGGTGCTTCCTACGGTGCTAATCGTTTTAAGGTTCTTTAGGAGAGATAGAGTCTAAACTATTAAGAAAGTCCTCCCCTCCTTTGGGGTCCCTGTTCATTTTCTGGGTGTCCTTTCCTGTCGGAACCGCCTTGCTGTGCAGATAAAGGTGCTGCTCCGCTCCATCTTTTTGTTCGCTTGCTTTGACTGGACAACCGAGGGAATTTCTAACAGGTTATAGTCCGACAGGCTGATGCTGTGAAAAATACAAGAAGTGGTGAGAAATCGGGCGAGCCGGCACCAATTTCATGGCTCAAATAGAAATCACACTTATTATCGGCGGAGACGTTTGCGCCCCTCAGCCAGATCGAGACCCGCTTCAGTCCCGAACAGATAATCGCCTCTTCAGGCCTCTTTAAAAACCTCACGCTGCTGAGTTCGTTTCATTTTCTGGGACTTTGTCTTGAGCTCCTGGGAGATCTGGATTCAGCTCCGATTTGGGGAAGCTGCCGGCTCTCCGGTGCAGCAGAACGGACCGATGTTCGGCTCGTTTTACCGGGATCAACATTAAGATATCGAGGCGATAAGCAGCCGAGCAGAGAGGCTTACCGGAGGCCCGGGTCGGCGTCGGTGCAGGTCGTTTCAGTCGCCTCGAGATCTGCCGGAGCTTCACCTTCACGGAGCGGCGTTTCCAGCTCAGTGTGGACTCTTTTTGTGGAGGATACAGAGACGAGATGTTTGTTTCTTTGTAAAAGTGTAGATTATCTCGTGTTGATAGCTTCTTGAACAGCTTCAGTTTGGAGAAAGCTAACAGCAGCTAAGACCAAAGTGGTTCCTATCTCTAAAAATCTCCCATTGGTTCATGCAAACTGTTGTATAAACATTGCCACGGCTGTTGGCATACAGCCAGCTCGAAGTCGTTAACACGGTCTGAATGGACCCGTTGCCAAAGCAGATCGTTTCCGTCCTATTTCCAAGTGGTTCGTGCAATAGCTGTTTAAACTTTTACAGCATTTAGTTTCAAATTACACGGTTAGTTTGGCAGAAATATCAGAAAATGTCCAAATTTACACGGGTCCTGGATCCAAGAAACGGATAAATTCACAATAATTAAACAAAAACAACCCAAACATGTGTAGAAAGCTCCACTTTTATCCAGTCAGTTCCAGAAGATTCTCCCAGAAACTTTGGGGCTCGTCAGAATTCATTCAGTCAAACTCCTGTCTGGTTCATCGTGGAGCTCTGCTGGGTCTCCTCCGAGTTCTTTATTACTCAAAATGGGGCGATCAGAAAGTGGCGTATGTTGACCTTGGAGTTGGGCGGGAATCGTTTTAGATGGTTTCCTGGGCGCATTTGATCAACCTGTGGTCGCATGTCCTCTTGCGTCCACATCCTAGGAGGTTGGCTACAGTCGCCGAACCCTTCTACTTTTTAGTCGTCTCATCAGCCGTGGTGACGGGAAGCTGCATGGAGACTATCTGGACGTCTTTACCGTAAACATGGATCCCCATTTACGTTTGGCGAGAAACGAAGCGTCGTTTCAATAAGACGTGAGGACGACAACCAGCTCGTCCACATCTGTATGCGATGCTGCCGTTTCTGTTGGCGCTCGCAAATAACCGTAATTCGGCGTGTTTCGGGACACCTTCAGTGTCTCCTAAAGTCCTCCTCGGTGGACGAGCGTCGACTGCGTGAGCTTCACGCCTCTTCCAGAGGTGCGACTGACAAAAAGACAGTGCAGGTCAAAGAAAAAGGACATGGATGGATATTTTGTGCAAGTTCTATGCGAGGACACTCGTTTTTACCAACGTTTGGATGGTTTGTCACTCAGGGACCATAAAATAGAAAACCTTTTTAATTTCTGGTGCAAAAATCGCTTGAACTTTTTCTACTTGTCTTTTGAAACTTAACAAGTCAGTGCACTGGACCGCTGGGTGCCGTTGCTCGTACGACTTTTGTCCTCGTCTATAAACATCTGCAGTGGCACTGAATATTTGGCTGACGGACCACAAAACATAAGCACTTAAAAGCTTCAGATTAGTGCCGTAGTCTTGTTTGAAGCACAAAACGCGTCAGAAGTTCGGAGTTACATTCACTGCCGGTCAAATACTCATGCGAGTCGTTCCATTCCCAACAATCCTCTTTGGTGCCGCCGATCCATCAGCATTTATCATTTCTACGTCCGGTTGAAGCACTGGTTAGAAAAGTCCCATCACTCGCCCAGCTGTGCCTCGGAATGGCTCCTTGTACCTTACCTTTACAGAATCCCCGTGAGTCACGCTTCACCCGATCTGAATCTGACCCAGCGGCGAAGGGAGAGTCACGACTTCCTGTTTTCCAGCGTTGTCTTCTGGGTATTGCAGTTTAAATGAATCGGCCGTAGCTTATAGAGGTGAAATTGAAACGTGATGGGAAGTGGCGGTACTGCCTACTGGTGAGTACCGGCCCACCTTGAGCTCCTGCACGTATAAAGGGTCGTCTACACGATCGCAGAAAAGCGTGAACATTAGGGTTTATGAAAAGGCCTTGGCACAAATCGCTAATGAATTTTTAAGATTGCTGCTGTAGCACAGCTCCGGTCTTCTTTGGTCCTAACTGCTCCGGACTAGCCGAATAAATAAAGTCTTATTTCTCCAATCTGTGGTTGTATAAGAAGCTGTGTGTAAGAGGTAGAAACACGCTTCACCAAGGCGATGTCTGTCTGCAGAATCATTCCTGACAACTTCGAACGTTTCTCGAGTTTTTACTCCTCTAGAGGAAAAGTCCACTCTGAGACTGTCGCTCAGCTCCAGAACAAACTGCCTTTTTTTTGTTTTTCCGGGGGGGTGGTCCGTTGCACTGCCGCTCACCTCCACGGGGGGCGGTGCAGTTTAACCCTTGGTTCCCGGA